TTTCAAACAAAGTAGGTGATACTAGGCTATTGTTATAAAAAAGATGGTTTTGGTTTCTTCAAGAATTATGAAGATATGTCATTTTGAAATTTAGACAAAAAAAATCATTTTTTAGCCTCTATTCTCCATTATAGACTTTATAGCGATACTTTTTGTGTGAATAATTAAAGTTCTAGGGGAGAAATATGACTGAAAATTGGTACCTGGCCAATTTTAAAGGTATTGAATACAAAGATAAAGATAAATGAACCCTATTCCTAGTAATTGAGTATAATTTTTCAATTTTAAAATATCAACAGTTAATTTTTTTTTATTTCTTAACCATGGTTTACCTTTCCTTATTTCTGAAGTTGCCTTACTCTTATTGTGAAATGAGAGGTCTTAAAAAAGTTTAGGTTTCTAAAAGAAAATTAAAAAATTATAATCCTTTGCATAACTTGCATATTTATAATCAATATTTTCAAAAGTATACATGGAAATATAACTTACTATACAACACATTGAAAATGTAATTTTTTATATTTATTAATTATAATAATTTATCATAACATTATTACTTTATGTCTAATAATAGGGTATTGTTGTGTTAAAAATAGGAAACTAAAATGCAAACCTTTTTGAAAAATAGTAAATAATCTGCTTTATTGAAAAAAGCTCAAAAATAAAAAGGAAAAAGAATAAACCAAATATGACTAAAATTGAAGTTTATATAATTTAAATAATGAAAGTAAAATATTCATTAACTTTCATTGACAAGATAAAAGATGTTCAAATAGAGTTTCGTCTTCTTTTGTGATGTGTTACTGATGCCCAGAAGATGTTGACGGTGTTTTAACAAGAGAAATGAAATTCATTCTTGGCACCCAGCAATTATCATCCTGCTTTGGCCAGTAGTAACAACCGACTTGAATAATTTGGATGCATAAACTTTACCATAAAATCGTCATTCTCTTTATCAACTTCAGAAACCATTCCAAGCCAGTAAAAATCGTTGTATTTGCAAAATAGGTATTGTGACATCATAACATTCTCAATTTTATTAATTTTGTTTTTTTCTTTATTGAGGAAGTCAAATGTTAGAGTAAAATCATCATCATCGGATACCCTTTTCATTTTTATAATTGAATGAGAAGAAGGTATAAATTGATGGAAACTTCTTGTCCCAGGAATAGTGGTTGCTATTAATAGTCTATCAGCAAGTTTGATTCTTACTAGCTCCATTTCTTCATAATCCCACTGATTGACTTTTAGCAGTATTCAAACATTGCTTGAGAAGATAGTATTTGACCTGTTGTTGGACTCTGCAAGCTAGCAGTTGAAACAAGCCTTTTAACAGTGCCACCTATTACATCACATGGAGATTTGTCATGGCTTGTTGCAAAGAATTTGCAGATGCACTGAACAAAAAAATCTTGAGCATGGTGACATAAATTGTAAAAATGTTTGTAGTTTTTATACTGCCCTGCACAGCCATCAGAAAAATAATGAATTTTTGTAATTGCGGGGCAAAGATGAGTTTTTATATGATTAATGGTTTTATGCATAACTTCATTGATAAATCCAACATCATGACTCAAATCATTTGAAATTACACAAAAAGAAGATATTTCCAATTTCACTTTCTTGTAGTAGATGACAACTGGATAAAGAGAACATTGACTCTTGCTCCAATGGTAACTCAGTATCTCGTCTTGTACTACAAAGTTCTCTGCAAATTCTGCCAGTATAATAGCCTCATCAATACTAATTGTTTCATTGAGATGCTTTAGATAGCTAGATTGTGATTTTGCTATAAATGAATGAGAAATAATTTTATAAAGTTTTTCACACAGGAGCTCTATGAATTCATTTTATGGAAGTTGTATTGTTAATAGTTCAGTTCTATCTGTCGTTGTCCACTGTTTGAAATCCACTGACTGTTCATTTTTGTCACTGTCATATTGCTCTTTTGGATCATCATTTTGTGTGAGATACTGCTGGAAATAAATTTGGGCAGCTTGTATGCCAGGACAACTATTGCATCGGTGAATCATGCAAACTTTTGATTTTCTGCTGCAGACAATCTTTTCAATGATTTAATGGTAAGATGTTTCAAGGCCTACAGCACTCAACATTAATTTAACATTTTGGTGTATTGTACACACACAAACAGAATGTGTACCTTTTGGACCAGCAAGGATGCACCATTTAGGTCTAAGACTGCAAAATTTAGAAAACCCAATTTTATGGTCTGGGTACTTAATCTTATATGCCACATAGAGCTCCTTTAGATTACACATAATCAATTTTTTTGACATGTATTTTTTTTCCCCAACACTTACAGTCTTTTTTACCTGGCATTTGCCTTGAATACTCGTCGTCACACTAAAAAGTTTTACAAGTTCTATGACATCTTTACTGATTCAATGCCGTTCAACCACATAAGTGTATGCAATGATGCCTTTTTGGTCACGTAAAAGCTTTGCATTTTGAATTTTGTGTTTGGAAACTGAAAACTCTTTTGGTGCTTTTCTGATTGATCAAGATTTCAATGTCAATGTCAAAATTTGAAGCTGCTGCCTTTTGTTAGAAACTTTAAGTTTTTCTTTCATGCATTCAACAAGGAAGTCTAGATTGGTTTGGTTTCAATTTCCTTTAGAACTTCATAGTTGTTAGGTGCAGCAAAATCGGATTCGGTGACATCCAGAGCAGTTGCAAGTTTCTTAATAACTGCTTCTTCAACTTGCTTTATCTTTCTCTTTACAAGTAAAGGCTTGTTAGAGGTTTTTGGTAAATTAACTTTTAGCGGAGACACTTCAAGTTCACACAAAATACTGTTGAGCTATGATCTTGTTGATTCCAGTATAATTTCTTTTTCTATATTATCTTCAGTTAATTTTATCTCCAACTCGTTCTCTTCTGATTCTTCACTTGATGCTAATTTATGTCTGCGTTGTGGACAAAGTTTTTCACCTGGCACTACGAATTAGCCTTTACTGCATAAGTACTTTGCTGAATCCAAGTTGATTTCACGAAGACTGCCTAAAAAAAGGGAAGAACTCTTTTAATATGTATAAAAATTGTAATAAAACTATTTTAAATTTAAATTTGTATGGCATTTAATAGTGCACTTTTAAAAGTCAGCTAAAAGTAAGGCTAAATATAGCTAAAATAAATTGGCTGCAAAGAATTTCATTATTGCAACTCACAACATTTTCACAAAATAAAAGTTGTGATTACTATAAATACCTTTTATAACTTTGTTATGAGTATTAAATGGATTGCAGCACCGTGTTAATTTAGTTGCATAACGCTTCAAATAAACATGTTTATGATGTAGACAAGTTGTTGGTTTTACATTGATTATTGAGAGCCCAGTCCTCCACATTAATATTTCTCTTTCATATTCAGGAATATCTTCAAAAGGTTCGATTCCAAGCAACAATGTATATGTTGCAAGATGACATTCACTTTCTAGCTTGATTCCAATGGAGCACTGTTGGCTGTTTCCCATGACTAAGAAACTGAATTATTAAATTCTCTAATTATTTAATCTAAAATTAAAATAATTTTAAGTTTATGGTTTCTGGTGTTTCAAAACTATATTTATACAACATATCTAACATCACAAATCTATATTTATACATCACAGCAGGCATTGCAAAACTATTTTTTTAAATGACAATTCACTTCACAAAACATTATTTATATATAAAAACCTGCCTCAATAAACTCTTTCTACACATCACAACTGAGCCCATGAAAGTCTTGCGATCAGGAAACTCGTGAAAACCTAACCTTTTTTTATTGTAATGTGCTTTTTTACCATTTAAAAAAAAAAAAAAAAAAAAAAAAAACAGTTATCTAACATTTTAAATTAGGTTTTTTTTTTCTACTTTGGATTCAGCATCTTCAAAAATGGTCAGGTACCAATTTTCAGTCAGTTTCTTCAACTAAAACTTAAATTATTTACACCTAAACTATAGCTAAAAAATCTATGAAAGAGAATTTGAGTCCAAATAAGGAATTTTTTTTGTATAAATTTCAAAATGATATATCTCTATAATGCTTTAAGAAACCAAAACCATCTTTTTAATAAAGATAGCCTAGGATCACCTACTTCATTTGAAAAAAAAATTGAATCCATGAGATTTGGGCAACTCTAGGAGTTGATGAAAGCGCAACCCATGGTAACAGAACAAAAAGTTGGACTGACCATTTTAAAATCAAAAAATAACCATCATAAAATTTAAATTTCACTATTTGCTTTTTATTTTTGAATTCAGCACCCTCAAAAATGGTCAGGTAACCATTTTTAGCCTCATTCTTCAACTAGATCTTAAATTATACATTAAAAAGTACAACTACAAAATCCATAATGGCGGACTTGGCAAAAAAAGGAACATTTTAGGCTGAATTTCAAAATGTCATAACTTTTGAACCGTTTGATTTTGGGAGCTCAAATTTTACAATTTTTCATGTTACATTGATAGGTACCACTGGGTAAAATTTGAAAGAAATCTGAGAGGGTGACTGAAAAATTTAGATTTTTTGTCCCAGTTTTACATGGAATTACCCTCTTGTAATATTTTATTATCATCATAACAATGATTGATTGAAATAACTTTGGTATCGTCTGCATATAATTTAGTGTCTTTAATAATCCCTCTACATAAGTCATTAATGAAGATTACAAACAAAAGAGGTCCGAGTACTGAACCTTGTGGTACTCCACTAGTAACCATCTTCCAACTTGAAATATATTCCCCTATCACAACCCTCTGTGTTCAGTCTGACAAAAATGATTTACACCAATTTAACAAAAATGATACAAATCCTAGTCTGAATAATTTTTTCAGTAATTTCGTGTGAGAGACTGAATCAAATGCTTTTTTAAAATCCAAAAATAAAACATCAACAGAAATATCCTCTTCATACGCTTACATGATTAAATCTAATGTTTCTAACAGGTTTGTTATACAACTTTTGTTATTAACAAAACCATGTTGCTCTTTAGAAATTTAATTGTTTTCAATGAGGAACACCATCATATGATCTTTAATAATTCTCTCCATGACTTTACCAACAATTGATGTTAATGAAACCGGTCTATAATTTGTTGGATCTAGTTTATTTCCTTTTTTGAATAACGGAACAACGTTTGCACATGACCATAACTTTGGAATAGATCCTGTAATAAACGATTTAACAAATATTATTGCTAAAGAACTTGACAAAAATTCTGAACATTCCTTTAGAACTTTTGGGTGAACATTATCTGGACCTACTGATTTGTACATGTTTAAATTACTCAAATGTTTCGGAATAATAGAAATACTAAAATCTGGATCAGAACATTTTGTTAAAAGATTGTTGTCTAAAACTTCTTCTGATGAGTCATCTTGTATAAACACAGAAGCAAAGAATTCATTAAGAGTGTTTACTATCTCTTGATTATCAGTAGTTATAATACCATTATGTAGCTTTATGGCTTTGATCGAGTCTTTAATTCTTGTTTTGTTGTTTATATAAGCATAGACACTTTTAGGATTGTTTTTTGAATAAGGTGCCAAGTTTTTTTCAAAATTGCGAATACTTTTCTTGACAAGTTTTTTTATATCTTTATTTAATTTTTTATACTTATTGACTTCTAAAAGACTTTTAAAACCTGAATTTCTGTTTCTAAACCAACATTTTTTCTTTTCTTTACACATGCTTTTAAGTTCACTTGTCATCCATAGTGAGTTATTTTTTAGTTGAAAAGAGTTTTTATCAAAATTTAGCGTTGGGATATATTTTTCACATCTTATTTCATATTTTCTAAGCCATTTTTCGTAACATTCATTAACACTTAGTCCTTTAAATTCATTTATCCAGTTTATGTTATTAAAATACAAATCTAACGCTTTATAGTTTCCATTTTTCCACAAAAATTTTTTCTTCCTTGTTTGTAGTGATTTAAATAAATTAGGTTTATTTTCATAACCAAATCGAAATTTCAAAATATGATGACCATGATCGATACCACCTAACGGTGGAAAATGTTCAAGAAAATAAACTCTGTTGCTATTATCAGTTAAAATGAGGTCTAAAATGTTAGTATCAATACCAAACTTTACTTGAAAACTAGGACTGATAACATTTTGGTGCAGGTAACAGTCATGTAATGACTCAATAAACATACTTGCTGTTGTGTCACTGTCATTTATAATTTCACTAAAACTTTCATCGTTCCACTTGATGTTTGCATAGTTAAAGTCACCACATATTAAAATACTGGAGCATTTGTTATTTTGTTTGAGTACATATGCTTGTTTTAATGATTTTATAATGTCAATACACTTTTCACTATTACTAAGACCTGTCCGATACATACAACCACATAAAATTTGCTCTTTGCCAATTTCAATCAAACACCATACTTGCTCAATATTTTCATTTATTAGATATTTTTCATTTATTTCATAAGATTTAATATTCTCTTGTATATAAATACATACACCACCACCACGACTAAATTGACGATCTTTTCTAAACAGATTATAACCAGGAAAATTAGTAGTAGACATTGCTGACCACCAAGTCTCACAAGCAAACTTGAGCCTTAGATCTGGATATATCATCAATGAATTCGTCAAATTTATTATTTAAAGAGGTCGCATTTGTATACCAACATGTTATACATATTTCATATATATGTACATATATCATAGAACATATGTACACATATCATATAACATATGATACACATATCATATATCATATATCATATATATAACATATCATACACATATCATATAACATATATCATAAACATCTTTTTTAATTTAAACTTATTAAAATGCATATATTTAAATTAATGCTTATTAATAAGTTGGAATTCAAAAACAAAAAATACCTTTACTTTCCAGTCAAATGGGACTGTCGCTGGAATTTTGGTCCGCGAAAATTTTTATCCCGGACCAATAATTTCGTTGAAATTTTTGGTCCGGCCGGATAAATTTTTGCGATATTTACCGGATAAATTTTGGTCCACCTTGAAAAAAATGATCCGTGATAATATTTCAAAAGTTTTGAAAACGGACCAAAATTTTTAGTAAAATTTTTGGTCCATGTAAATCAATTTTTGATTTTTTAACTTAAATTTATAAATTGATAAAAAATTTAGACATAATAAGTGTAAAATAGTAAAATAGATATGATCATAGTTTTTTAACAAGTTGTTAAATCTTTCTTTAGGTTTTATGAAATCAATTTCTCCAAAAAATAATGGTTGGTTCATTTATACTCTATGATCTTTCATAGCTTTTTCATATTTAATAGATCCATAGACCCGGCATAGTCACATCTTATTGTACTTCTCGATTTGAAGGGCTTTGAATGTCTGCTTGCATGAAACCCGCGTCTAGGAATAACTTTATGACTACGCTATCATTATAGTAGAACTTGATCTGATGTTTAAATTTGTCTGGAAGATCATTTATATACAGAACAAACAGTAATGGTCTTAAAACCGAACAAGTATGTCGGTTTTAAGACCATTACTGATTGTAATAGTCTTTGAGCATTGCTACAAAAATGTTGCCAGCAATGAACGTTGGTGGCAACATTTTCCCAATGGCATGTTCTCTGGTTATGACTGTCTGTTATCTTCCTAATAGCCATGCTTTAATCCATGCGCAAAGCTCCTCATTGATTCCATAGCTTTGGACTTTGTCAAAAGATTTTGCTAAATCCGTAAGATAACGTCTATATGTGTACCTGAAATGATTCAGGGCGCCATTATTGAAAAAGTTAGAATATTTTTTGGGGTGTTTTGGCATTAAATATCCATATCCTAATGTTTACTTAAAAAAAATTATGTTTACTAAAAAGAAATTATTTTAATTTATGCCCACAGTTAAATGTAATTAATTTATGTATCATGTAGTTATTTATACTAAAATGCAAGTAAAAATAGTTATGTTCGTTCATTTGATATCTGGCTGCATTATATGGTAAAATAATTAAACAATAGTCAACAGGTAAAAATATTTATCTAATGAATGTCAATGCTACATATCCCCACATATCAAAGTAGCTCCAAGTTATCTCATACTTTTCTCAGCTTACTCTACACATGACACCAGTGGCCTGGACTGGCTGTATATATATATTACCGGCCATAAAAATAATTAAAGGGCCCTCCCGTCTATACATATATTGCAAAGACTGCACGGTCCGCAATATTCTAAAAATAAGTCTTAAGACAATTAAATCACAGAATATTAAAATTAGATTGAATTAAAAAAGTACAAGTGATGTGCAATTTTCGCAGTGCAAAGTATAGCAATAACTATTCTTAAAACAGTTTGCTCAATTCAGAGGACGAAGATGCATATCTTAGAATGATTGTATCATACTCAAGGCTATCAAGTAGACTTTTTTCTAAAGACATCAACATATACAACTCTAAGTGGTCATTCGACATAGAATTTCGCAATCTTGTCTTGATTAACTTTAAATTAGAAAACGATCTTTCGCCTTCGGTTTGTGTTACAAAATTAGTATATATTTTTTTATAATTATGATACAAATTGTCATAGGTTTTTTCGTTGAATCTATATGCAGCGAGAAATAGTAACACACAAGATCGACACAATCCTTTATTAGTATTCTGATAACAACGCGGTTAATCGGGGTCAACCTTTTGATCGGCATTCTCTCTCAATGTTGTCGTTAATGGCAAAGATAATTTCAAAATCTCATAGTTAATCACAAATGAAAAAAGTTTGGCCTACATTTTATTAACGTCGGCATCTGGTAAAAATTTGATAATGTTATTTATCTAATCATGTAAACTGAGTAAACTGTTTTCAGAAATTCTCGAAATGGCAAGATCGCCAAAATTTGATGTATCAAAACATGCCATGTCCATATATAATTGTCAATGTGAAGTGAAACGTGACTCAAGACTTTGGACTATCTGATCCATCACCGCGTTGTAAGTCCAAATTCTGTAGGGTTCCAAAGCTTTAGATTCCTCATGTATGTTTATCTAACATATTGGTGTCTTCCGCTTCCGTTTAAACATTTATGTTCTATCTTCACCTCTAATATGGTTTCAGTTTTCTGGATGATGCTTGCGTTTGCCATCCGTACAAATTGAAGAGCGTTATTATGAACATCATCAAAAAATCTTGATTGACTTTTCAATTCAATTGCAGCCTTATCCACTATCTTGAATGCAACCAACACATTTAATCCACGAGTTTGCAGGAATATTGAAAGTTGCCCCACTTTTTCAAAAATTTGCAGGTAGGTAAAGGCAGTGAAAATGGTGCCGAATTTCGGGAATGGCATAAGGAATGTCTTAGTTTCATGACGTGTTTTTGCATCAAATTTTCTGATTCGCTTATAAATGACACAAAAAATTAAATTGATTAACACTGTTGAAGATGGCTCAGGAAATGTTCCAAATATCGCCGTTGCAGCATCTGATTTACCCGACCACCTTATTTCACCAATCAATTTCAATCTTTTAATCTTATCCATTCCCATTTGTGTTTTAACAATTTTAATCCAAGTCGCCATTTGCTTATATGACACTTTTATTAATGTTGAAACATTTTGCAAAAGGTTAAAAAATGAAACTGCCTGAATGCAGCAACTGGTTGCCTCCTTCACAACTAAGTTGAGAACATGAGCATAACACCAAATATGTACATTTGGCTGAATTGGTCAATTGCAGATATATCTTGTGTAGAATCAACTTGTAAGGAGTACACTTTTGCTTTGGACACTTCCATTGCAATCTGTTCCTGTATCATTTTTTTTATAATATTGAGAAGCTTTGATATAGTCTTACATGAAAACGTCACCAGAGCACAGCGACCTTTACTGCCGGCTTTACCTTGACGTTTCAGTTTTTCTATTCTTTTGATTAATTTCTCTTGACACATGGAGAGATAAGAAGCTAAAAGTGCGTCATATTTGGCCAAGAGCTGGACCAAAGCCAAATTTCCATGATTTTTTTCATCATGAGGTGCTTTAAGCTAAGATAAAAAGTGTTATTTATGTGTTACATAAACATTAATTTTTTCAAAATTTATAGGCCAATGTTCAGAACATACAACAGTGTATTTGCTTTCAGGAATGTTGCTTCTTGCCACTTTCTACGTTCTTCTGGATCTTTTGGTAATTTGTAAACAGCACACTTTTTTATCTGTTAAATAATTAGTAGAGCAATTCGCAACACTTTTCACTTTAAAGGCATAATAAGCCTCAAGAAATTTTTTTGTTCTAATTTTAAGCAACGTTATTAACCTTTGGTAAATATTTAAGAGTTAATCGGCCTCCAGTTATTTTTACGGTTTGCACGATTAATAGGCCTGTGTTTTAGATAGCCGTCAATCTATCCATTAAACTTAGTTTATCTAATCTTGTAATCTATCCATTAAACTTGGTTTATCTAATCTTGTAATCTATCCATTAAACTTGGTTTATCTAATCTTGTAATCTATTCATTAAACTTGTATCGATAAATGCGCTTAGCAAATAGATTAAGGGGATCTTGTAAGCAAGTAATCGCACACTTTTAAATTTTCTACACATAATTTTATTAAAATTGTATTTTATTTAGACAGCCTAATTATATTACTTCCGTTTTTAAACCTTTATGTACTACATTCAAATCATTTTAAACATATTTAAATTCTAAGATTATATTAAGCAAAAAATTAAAATAATATCATCTTAAGTTTAATAAAAAATATTATTATTAACATCAAAAGTACAATATATCGACAAAACATTAAACTGATACAAAACTACAATATATCGACAAAAAACATTAAACTGCAACGTTACCAGTTAATAAAGTGTTTTTACCTTAATTATGTTTAAGTCAATTTCTTTTCTTTAACTATTGGCTAATGATCAATATAATAAATTTCAAATCATTAAAATTTACCATATTAAAACCATATTTCAACAGTAGGTAGTTCAATGAAATTTAAACAAAAGGTAGAATTAAAGAAATAAAATTTTAATTGAATATAAAAACCATAAGCATATTTTAAATTTAGTTTAAACCTGAATAAATAGAAAACAAAAAAAAAAGAATCATAGTTGCAGCTTGTTTATTGTCTATGATGGTAAAAATAAAAGATAAAATATTAATAAATAAAAACTCTAACTTGTGGCCCCTCTTATTAAAAAACTAAAACTTTTAACTTTTAAGGCCAAGGACTAACAACTCTGGTGGTAATAACCACTTTTACATGACTTTTATCATACATATTACATACATATACTATTTTTAAATGTTTTAAGGGGCGTCCTTTGACTGTTCTAGAGAGTGTGTGTGGGGAGGGGGTGGGGGAGGGGCAGCTCTCCCCCACGCCTTATACTAAATCAGATATTGCATGTTTCATCAATCTTGTGCATCGTCTTTCTTTAACTCTTTCAAAAAAATTTTATATCTACCTCTCTTTTTCTTATAAAACTTCTCTCTAAATGCTGATACCCAATCAGTAGCACCTTTATGCTCTACATACCCAAACCAACTTAACTTTCCCTAGTGCATCCTAACAAATACACCATCAGATTACTTTTCAAGATCATCACTTTTGATCTCTAAGATCATCACATTTGAACTCTTTAAAAAGATATAATATTATAATATTATTTTAACTTCATTCAATTGTAATTTTTAATTAATTAAAGTTTAAGAAATTTATTGATGAGAAAGAAAGTGGCATGTAAAATAAATTTATAGGGAAATTTTCAAAGCTGAAAAGAAATGACAAGCATGTGAATTAAGAAAACAATTCAGGTTAGAAATTAAAAAGAGCAACTTCAGCAACACTTATCATAAGTGTACTTATCACATTTAGACTGATTCTTCCATTGATGCCTTTTCTCTTTTAGACTAGATCCAAAAATAAAAATTGAAGATACAAAAAAATATTAATTTTCAAGGATTATCTTTTTCTGGATATTTCTGGAATTCCTGATATTTTCTCTACTTTTTGTTTTTTTTAGATATCCAAAATATTTTCATTACATATAAATTTAACAATTAATATTTTTGTAATAAATTTTCATATATAAATAAATTTCTGTATAAAGAAATTAGAGAGAAAACCAGTGTATCAAGTTGAGATTATAAGGGAATTTTAAGATCGTTTGGAAATATAGAATGTAAAGATACAAACTATTTGGACCCAAAAAACTTGATACCCATAAAGGTAGCATTTAGCAAGGATGCTAAAACAATGACAAAAATAAAAATGTAATACCTTGAATAGACATCCTGCCACTGTAACCACCATTTTGTTTTTAGTGGCTATTACTTCAACCCACTTTGAAAAATAGTCACTAATAGTTAAAATGTATTTACAACCATCTTCACTAATTGGACTGAGTGGGCCAATAAAATCTATGCCAACCATATACCATGGAGTTTTTACCTTTATTGGTTGCAACTCTGGTTTTCAACAGTTTAATTTTCTATTCATTCTCTGGCATACATCACATAATATAAGCTGAAACAGAATAGAATGGTATAGCAATACTTTATTATAAATTATTAGGGAAAATCAAAATTTTCTCTATTTACTCTAATACATAATAATATAAAATGTAAATTACCAACTCATAGATATTTTTTACCATTCCATGCCACATGAAATGCTCTTTTACCCTGCCCAATGTCCTTGTTTTACCCATATGGCCAGAAGTAGGATGGACATGGCAAGCTACTAATATTTTTCTTCTCTCATCATGATTTATAGTAAATCGCAGAAATAGTTCCTTTAAATAACAACATTGCATATAAGTATTAATTTATAATTGTTAGTGTTTAGGTATTCAAGAATGGCTAGTGGCAGTCATCATGGCTATGTATGAAAATGTCACAACAACAATCAAAACAAGAGATGGACAGAGTGATAGTTTTAAAGTAAAAGTTGGTGTGCATCAGGGTTCAGTGCTTAGTTCTTTGCTTTTTATTATTGTTTTGGATGATAGCAGAAAACAGAAACAGAAGAGGAATTAGTATTAAGATTTGAAATTGGGAAAGATGGAATTGAAGCTAAAGGGCTTAAGATAAAACATGAATAAAACAAAAGTTATGCACTGTACAGTCAAGAATAAACAAGCAGAAAATACTGGGAAGTGGAGTATCATGTGGAGTGTGTAGGTATGGAGTTAGAGCAAATTTTATTGTTTGTACAGTTTGTAGGCAATTGGTTCATAAGAGATGTAGTGGTATTCAAGGTTCTCTTAAGATTGTTGATTTTGAGTATAGAAAACGTATTCTTGATGAGTATAGAGAAGTTAAAAAAGAGGTTGAAATAAAAAGTGGAGGAAAGATAGAGTGTGTTATTAAATTTTTTTTATCTTGGTGATACAATTGGATTAGCTGGAAAAGCAGAAGAAGCATCTAGGGCAAGAGTAAGGTCTGCTTCAGAGTAAGTAAGAGTAAGGTATCTATCATTAAAAAAAAGGGGGGGGGGGAGGGGCTACTAAGAATTAATTGAATGAAAAAGAAACTAAAACTACTATATTAAATGTATATATTATTTTATGACTTTTTCATATATTTTCGTTAACTTTGATTACAGATACTAACTTGAACAGAATAAACAAAAGCATTAAAAAAGAATAAATTAAAAAAAAAAAAAATTCCAGCCCTAGCTGGTAATCCCCGCAAATTGTGTTTGTTTAGCCAGAACCGGGTTTGTGAAAAGCTCTATTTTGAGCCAGGGCTAAGGCCCCGGTCACTTACTACTTGGGCCAAGTTCAGAGAATTATATCCTCTTTTAACAGCAAGAGGTGCTTCATTAAAGATTAAAGGAAAGTTATACAGCATATACATCCAGAGTGTTATAATGTATGGCAGTGAAATAGGCAATCAAGGTTAATGATGTTCAGCGTTTGGAAAGGATAGAAAGAATGATGATTAGATGGATGTGCAGTGTGACTCTAAAAGACAAGAAAAGCAGTGATGATTCAAGAAAAAGATTAGGCATAGTGAGTGTATCTGATAGCGTGTCTCAGGAAAGATTAAGGTGGTTTGAGCATATAGAGCGTAAGAATGCAGATGACTGGTTATCAGCATGTAAAAAGTTAAAAGTTTCAGGAGAAAGAGGTAGATGTAGATACAGAAAAACTTGGAAAGAGTGTGTTTCAGATGATTTGAAAAAGCTACATATCAGGAAAAAAGGTTTTCAAGTGTATGTTGGAGAAACGACTTTATAAGAAACATCCAACCCATACAAGGAGAGAAACAAGGACACTAAAATGATGATGATGATATTTTTCCATAACTTATTTTATTATATTCAGTTATTAAAACTTTTTTCAGTTATTTATGTCATCAATAAGCTATGGCAAAAAATACATACAAAAAATACAGACAAATATAAAAATCAATTAAAGTTGAAAGGCAGAAATGAAAACAATTTACAATTTTATTTTTTTGACTTATATTGCTATGTTATATGTTGCATGTATATTATTTTGAATATCATTTCTTCATTTAAAACTTAGCTTGCAGAAATTTCAAATTTAGGCTAAATTTGATGATTTAGGCTAAATAATGAATAATATTAACTGCTATTTATTTTAGAATAAATAATTGTTATGAATAAATATTGATAAATCAAGAATTGATAAATATTGATTGATAAATCAATCAATATTTGTTTATCACCTTGTTCAAGTCAAATTAAATATATTCTGAAATTAGTTATTAACATTTCAAGGATATTTACAATAGTACAAATACTAGTATAAAGTATTGCATCGGTAATGCTTTAAAACTACTAAAAAGCTATTTAAAACATTGCAAACAATTTGTCTATATCGACGGATCTTCTTCACAAGGTTATTTAAATATAGATTATCTAAATATAACCTGTGGAGTTCCACAGGGATCTATACTAGGGCCCTTATTATTTCTAATTTATGTTAATGATCTCCATGAAGTCTCAAAATTAACAACTATAATGTTTGCTGATGATACAAACCTATTCCTATCAAATAATAACATCAACAAACTTTTTTATGATATGAACATTGAACTAATAAAAATATCTGACTGGTTTAAGTTAAATAAACTTTCACTCAACATTGATAAAACTAAATGGATTTTTTTTCATCCACGATTTAAAAAACATTTACTTCCAAGTAATATGCCTCTTCTTCATATTGATAATATTCAAATAAAAAGAGTAGTTTTCACAAATTTTCTAGGTATCATTGTTGATGAAAATCTATCATGGAAGAATCACATCGGACATTTATGCAACAAAATTGCAAAAAGCATTGGAGTTTTATATAAAGCAAGAAGCGTTTTAAACAAACATTCACTAACTCAACTATATTACTTTTTCATACACTGTCATATTAATTATGCTAATATTGCATGGGGTAGTACCCATAAAAGTAAATTAAAGCCACTTTATTGTCAGCAGAAGCATATTGCACATATTATAAATTTCAAAAATCGTTTTACTCACTCAAGGCCACTTTTATTTAACATGAATGTTTTTAATATATATCAAGTAAATGTTTATAATGTTCTTTGTTTTATGTTTAAATGTAAAACCAACTCTTCTCCAGCTTCCTTTTTTGATTTATATTCTTTAAAAGAAAAAAACAAATATTCTTTAAGAAATGATAATTTTATTAAACAAACAAAATTTCAAACAAACTTTGGTAAATTTTGCACTTCTTTTCGTGGAGCTTTTTTATAGAACCAAATAATTTTAAAAAATTTTGATTTTTCTCATGAATGGAATTATTTTATGTTCAAACGAAAACTAAAAAAAGTAATATTCTCAATTGAAAATATATTTATATACTTTTAATTTTACCCAGTTTTGTCAACACTCATTTATATTTTACTTTTATACAATATTGATTTAAAGTTTATGTCAGAAACTGTAGTTAAACATCATTATTTGAATTTTGTTAAAAGTTCCACTGACATTATTTGTACAGTAGGCATTTATTATTTACTTGTTTACTTTAATTTTTATTTTATTTCGTAATTTTGTAAATAATTTTGTAAATAATAACGAACGGTATATACTTTTAATATTGAATTTAATTTTGTAATGAAAAAAAAAATATATATATATATATATATTATTATTAAAAAAAAAAAAAAAAAAAAAAAAAAAAAAAAAAAAAAAAAAAAAAAAAAAATACAAAAAAAAAAAAGATACAAAAAAAACTTGATGTATGTGACTGGATGTATCTGCAAACATTGTATGTATACTTTTGGAAGTTAATCATCCTTTGACAGTGGTTTAGCATTTTTGTCGGCGAAAGCGTTAACGTAAATGCACCAACATTTGATAATTATGGCTTCTCACACAATGACACCATCATTTGGCTATCTAAATTCTTCTACACAATCTTTTGGACAATCTTGAAGTGCATTTGGATGTACCTAGTGCAATCATATTCTTATTATTTTCGTTTATTTATTAATTAATTAACAATTAAGATCAGTGTAACTGATAGATTTGAGTAACAAGAATCAGTGATCGAGTCAGATGCAAGACGTATTTATTTATTAAGAATACTATGATATTATTGTTTTCGCTTAAATCATCCTGTTCAGAAGAATTAGTACTTTAATTCCAGCCATAAAGACCATAACTTAAAAAAGTTAAAAACTTGTGTTTATTTATTTTTGTTTTTCCTAAAATCTAAACTAAGATCAAAGTTCTTCAACAGCGGTTCTCGGTAATTTAAATAAGTGCTTTGGGTTAAAAATGGAATTTCGTTAATTCGTTTTCAGATGAAACATTCCGGTACAAAGAAAAAGAACTGGTTGGTGACACACAAAATCGAATTTTTTTAAGTTTAGTTTATAAATGTTAGAACGATTAGTACGTTCTTATTAAATTTAATGTTAACGCTTCAATTTATTATATCAAAGTACAAAAATCGATTAAAGGTTGTTAAAACATTTAAATTTTAACATACAATTAATTCTAGTCCTAGAAAAAAGTCATAGTAAAAGAAAACTTTTCTTTTTTTAGTTAAACATTAAAATGGAAATACTCGAAGGCGAAAGAAAAAACTCAAAAATTTATTACCAAAATGGTTACTATTATCGTAAAGACAAAAAAGCAACAGAATCGTATGGTGGCGGTTTCAAATGTAAGGATGAATTTTGTAGAAGTCGTGCAACAAGTGAACCAAGCCTAGCGTTAGTACAAATAACGCCGCATAATCATTTGCCAGATTTTGAAAAAAAAGAGATTTTAAAATTAAAACTATCAATAAAACGAGCTGCTGAAACTACAAGTGGAAGTTTGCGAGATATTTTTGACCAAGAAACTGCTAGTAACCAATCAGCACATCCCGTTTCTTTTGGAATGATGGAAAGCACTATGTATCGCAGACGTAGATCAGTGCAGCCGCAATTACCAGCCAATTGCGGGGAATTAGACAACTCTTTGAGAGTAAACAACATAAGTAAATTTTTAGACGGGACCGATTTTTACAAAGGGTACGTTCGTATAAATAACGATTATGCTCACATATTTATCGGGAAAACAGTCGTTTCTTCACCGACTGATTTGCACGTTGACGGAACATTTAAGGTAGTTCTGAAAATGTTTTATCAAATGATAACATTTGGGTACATTTTGCTTGATCATGTAAGATAATCAATAAAAGATAATATAAGAAGGGTGTAAACAAGGAATTCTATATTTTCCGCGGTGTTTTTAATACCGTTAGATTTTTTTAGAGCACCTTAATGAATTAAAAAAAAATATATATATATTCCCTGTTTTTTCTTGTTCACCCTCCATATATTAATATTTTTAATTGTTATTACTACTGTTTTTTATAAATTATAGTTGTTTTTATTAATGTTGTTCTACAAGTAAAGAATCAAGAAATAAAGATTTTTTTGTTTTAGTTTATTCCAACTATTTTCATACTTATGACTAGAAAAACGCAAGAGCTGTATTCTCTTGCATTTTCCAAAGTTGCTGAACTCGTTCCACATTTGTCACCGTTACGGATAATGACGGACTATGAACAAGCATTGATAAATACCTTGGAAATTCAATATCCTTTAGCTGAAATTTCAGGCTGTTGGTTTCATTACGTAAATGTAAGCAAAAAAATATTTAACTAAACATACAATAACTTTTGTTATAAAATGGCAATTTTGAAACTAAATTAAAATACAATTTAAAATATATATATACTTATTTGTACTGAAAGTTTATGTTTACAATTATTTATATTTAGGCTGAGGTTAACAAGTGTAAACATCTTGGATTGTTTGGACTTTAAAAATTGCAAGTTCACAGTGATTTGAAGAAACGGATAAGGCTATTATTGTGTCTTTTTTTGCTACCGCCTCACCATATTCAGCCAACATTAGGCAATTTGAATCCAAATTTGTTTGTGGTGTCATTAAGCATAAATGACTTCGCAAAATGTCAAAGTTTAATGACCTATATGGAAACATTTTGGATTGGGCGTATTGGCAGTAAAAAAATTTCTGTTTTTGGTTGTCCCAGAAGAACGAACTCTGATCAAGAAAGCTTCCATGCCTCGCTTTTAAAACGAATAAAGATTGCTCATCCAAACATTTGGCTTTTTATAAGTAAATATATATATATATATTATAAGTAAATATATATATATATATATATATACATATATATATATATATATATATATATATATATATATATATATATATATATATATATATATATATATATATATATATATATATATATATATATATATATATATATATATATATATATATATATAAAATAAAAATATAATTTTTTGAACTAATCTTTTTGCATTTAATTCTTTTAATATTTTAGCAGAACTAAGAAAGTTTGCAGAAGTCCAGCAACTTGATAAAGTACGTTTAGAATGTGGACTTCAAATTCGTCGGAGACGAAAGCAGAAATATGTTTTAAATGGTTGTAAAATCAGAGTTGCTACTGAAAATTTGGCCAACGGACGTCTAACTTCATTGGAATTTCTACAAAGTGTTTCACATTGCGCAGATGCGTTATTTAACAATCAACTTGGCGATAGTCGTATAAATCAACCACCGGAATTGGAAACAGTTTCATCATTTACGCAAGTTCAAATAGAGCCCTCACAGCCAAATTCAATTCCACCTCAAGATGAAGCCCAGCAACTTAATGTATCAATACCACGGAATGTAGCTATAGTGCAAAATACCTTCTAACTCGGAGAAAACTTACATAGTTCTACAGAAATTGTTGGAGTCACGGAGACTTTAAGAGTAGTGGATGAAACTAATGGAACAACATGTCCTGTTTGTTTAGAAAATACTCCAAACTTCGCTGCTGTTCCCTGTGGACACATGGTTTGCACAATGTGTATACCACATTTACAGTTAAAATGTCCTCGTTGCCGAGCAACAGTTCTTATGTTTATTCAAACATTTGCGTGATCTGCTTGATAAATGTTCATATACAAACTTTTTTGTTGAAATTTAACAGTATAGTTGTATTCAAAAGTAAATTTATTTGAACTTACAAAAAAATATTTTTATTTGAACTTACAAAGAATCATAATATTTACAAATAAAATAAATAAATAATAAAACATTAAATTTGAGATTTCGAAATGCAATTTTGTTTGTCGAATAATTAAAAATTATGTTTATTATTTAAAAAAATTGTAGCCACTTAATACTATCACCAATATGAAAGTATAATTTTTACAGACCTATATGGGGCTGTTAATACGCGACAGTTCTAAGGGGGGAGGGGTATCAGAAAGTGTTACCAAATGTCACATGGGGGAGGGGGGTTAGCTTCAGTGTAACGTGACAAATTTTTTAAAAATTTAAATTCTAATCACAGCGGAATCAATAAAAATGTTAGCGAAAAGTTGCAAAATTGGGTAAAAATAACGTCACGTCTCATATTTGAGACATTTTCTGTCAACCTCCTCCCTTTTTCCAATATGCATATTGGAAAAAGGGAGGAGGTTGACAGAAAATGTCATATGGGGAAGGGTGGGGTGTTTAAAAACAGCCAAAAGGGTGTTATATATTTTTTGAACAGCCCCTAACTTAAAAACAAACTAATATTTAAATTAAATCTAAAACCAATTAAAACATTATCTTAAAGGTCTTTACTCTATGTAGTAAAGTTCAAGTTCCGCATAATTGCTTTGCCCGAATAGAACTGTAACCAGGGGGTTTAGGTGGTCTAGAACCCCCTAGTATTTAAAACTAATGTTTTTCTTTTTAAGGAAAAGCATAATAAAAAATCTTAAAAAATCATATATTGTGATATATCAATTAATGTTTCAAAGAAAGAATGTAACTCCGCATGTCAATAGTCAAATGTAATCAAAAACTTTTGAATATTGATTATTTGTGTTTCATTTAAAACAAACTGAAATTTAAAACCAGTTTAAAATAGTTTGCTTAAACTAATTTTCAACTTATTTTAGACAAATGATTTTATATAGTTCTCACTTTACCCGCTAGCTTGTCCCACTTCTACTCACACCTACCCCATTTGCAAGGTTTCTGTAAAAAAAAAATTATATACTCGATTATAATACGCGAGAATTTTAAGGGGATTGAATCAGTGCCCAAATTGAAGGTGCTTTTCTTACAACTGTTTGGTTTTGTTTGGTTTGGTTTCGAACATCAAATAAAAAAGACATAACCGTAAAAGTAATATTTAATGTCCTTCTTCTCCTCCTCTCCCCAACTTTTTCCATAATTTTAGAAAAATACCTTTTACTAGCCATAAAGTTAACAACAACAAAAAAAAATTGTAACTTTATTTACGCAAAAGCAGTTTTTTGTCTGCCCGAACTAAGAAATGTACGCCAGCACCTAAAACATAGTCACAGAATAGGAAAAACCCGCTACTACAATTTGATCAACCTTATAAATATAAAAAATGATAAAATGTTCCATAACCACAAAGGAAAAAAATTGTTTTCTCGTCAAATTAAATGCACACAACATATTATTTCAGAAAGAACAAACTTTATGTCTACAGAGAACATGCAGAACTACTCCAGAAAAAACTTGAAGAATTAACTGAGCTATTCCAGAAGAGGTGTCATGAAACCATACATAAAAACTTGTGAAAACCATATCAATTTTACTTGTCCTTAAATCTTTAAAAACTCCAATTTTTATAGATTTTTATCTTAGTAAGATAATCTTACCACTTTAAATATTAGTTACCGAAGAGTTTACCATCATCATGAAACAAGAATTTTGGTTATGGATACTCAATAACCTTCAAAACGAGGAAACAGACTAAAATGTTTTTTGATGAAACTTTAAAACACTGCGGGTTTCAATAAATGAAAAATAATTGAAGTAAGAAATCTTTTAAAATATGAAATTTACATTGTCTATTGTTAAGTTAATAATGCTCCAGGTATGAAGGATATGTATATATTTGAACATAATTTTAAAATTTAATTTCAAAAGATAAAAAATGAAAACTGAAAAACTGAAACGGAAAAACTGTTATGAAAAACTGAATGTAGTAAAACGCGTGAAAATTAAGTACATACTGATAAAGACTGAAATAAAGATTTTATTTCAGTGTGATCACTTGACCTCATGTAATTAACATTAAGATCTCTAATTAAAATTGTTTCTAATAAATTAGGTTAATTAGGTTTAGATATCATTACTGAAAATAGGTTAGAGAAATTGTGGCTAAGGTATTTCGAGCTATCCGGTGGGCAATATAGGACACAAAACAATATACTCTTCGTCTTTGGAAGTATTTTTTCGAAACAAACGCTCTCTATTTCGTTGGATTTGAGATCGTTACGTCTTACCCAGTTTAACTTATTAGATATGTAAACGGCAACACATCCACCCAGTCTGTTTTTACGTATGCTGCTTAGATATGCATAACTCTCGATATGACATAGTTCACTAGGGTCGTCCTTGCTTATATGGGTTTATGGGTTTGTCAATGTTTTTGTTGCAGTTAAACAAATAAATGATGCTAAATGTTCCATAGGCCACGGATATTTAAATGAAAACATTGTAAGCCTTTCATATACAGAATATCTTCAAGTTTCTCCATCACTGAAATAATATGGTTCAAATACATTGGTCCAGGTCATAGTTCTATGTCACCTGATAATAATAACATAACTCTTAGGAAAGCATGTTCTTTTAGTATAATTTTATTTTCTAGTTGGTATTGCCATAAAAATATTTGTATAAATGTCAACTCAAATTCTATAGTTTCAAGAGATGTTTCAGAATAACATATCAAATTTGAATTTTGCAATGACGTCACTTTAACAGTTATTGTAGCGTATATTAGAAGTGTAATATAGATATAGTTAACCATTTTAAGAAAGTATACTTAGATACATGCAATATTTATAAAGAAAACAGCTTTAAATTGAAATATTTCATACGAACCTGATGGCGTAGAATAAAGTAATAATATGATGTAACTTCCAAATCTATATTATTATTTTTTCTTCTTTTAAAACTTTATATACTTTTTTTTTTTTTTTTTTTTTTTTTTTTTTTTAGTTTACAATTATTAATCGTAATATAACAATATAACAATATGTAAACTTGGTATCTGAAAGAAGATCCAAATGATCTTGTCGCCAGAACCATATAAAAGATATAATACGTGTATATATAATAAAATAAAATATAATTGATCAAATAACTAATAACAATGTAGAAGAAACAAAAACTGAAAATAATTTTACAAATTATCCAGAGTAAAAAAAAAAAATTTTACATTTCAAAAATATTTATATATATTGCCAGTAGAAAGAATATAGTTTTTTAATTTAGTTTTAAAAACGGAAAACGAAATCGACAAATCAAAATTTGGAACAACAATTTTGTTCCATAAATACGGTGCTCTATAGTTTATGCAAAATTGATTAAACTTTGTTTGACAAAAGGGTTCAATTAATAAATTATTATTTCGTAAAGCATATTTGTTTATAGCTTTATAAGTAAAAAGATCTTTGAAATTGGACAATGGTCGTTCACTTTTACAACGAAACATAAAACATAAAATATTATAGACATTGAGTTCGTAAACGTTAAGTGCTTTAACGTTTTTAAATAAAATATTTGAATGAGAAAAACGATTTTCGAAACATATTAAACGCATTGCGTGTTTCTGACGATGGTAAAGACTTCGTAACTTACTTTTAGAGGTACTTCCCCAAACAATATTTGCATAATTTATATAGCTATGAATAAACGAGTAGTAAAGTTGAATTAAATTTTGTTTACTTAGATAGTATCTGACCTTATATAGAATTCCAATACTTTTAGCCAATTTAGTAGAAATATAGTCGATATGATACTTCCATGTAATATTTTCATCAATGTAAATGCCTAAAAATCTTGTGACCGACTCCTTTTTTATTTCAATTTTATCAATAAAAAGTTTAGGCAATTTATCTGGTAAAAAACGCTTTTTAGCAAGAGAGTGGAAAAGGATCCACTTTGTTTTGTCAATGTTTAAAGTTAACTTGTTGCACTTAAACCAGTTAGAGATCTGATTGAGTTCATTATTCATATTTGAAAAAAGCTCATAAATGCTACTGTTTGACAGAAATAAATTAGTATCGTCCGCAAAATTTATACTCATAAGGTTAGAAGCTTTATTTAAATATTAAAATATAAAGTACCACCCCACACCACCCCACACCACCCCCCTCCCACACACACACACACACTACTGTGTGTCGTCTAGAAAAACGTTTGTCCGGATACGACGTTCTCAAGACTTCTGTATGAGACCAATTTAGGATGTCTAACGGAAAAGAAATCTAATATAAATGAGTGCAGCATAGAGCCACCGAACTAGTTACATCAATTAGCCGTTTGTGCGATGAAGATCGATCCTCCTAGCACAAACAACTAATTGATGAAGCTAGTTCGGTTGCTCAACGCTACACTCATTTAACTATTTTACATACATGATACACGTACACGTGTATCATGTCTCTTCAAATCAAGAGGGGGGGATCAAACTTACATGGTCATAATTTTTGAACACGAATATTAGAAAATTATTTCTAATAATCTATCATTTTGTTAATCGATCACTGTTTTTACGTATGCATATATGTATACATAAAAACAGTGATCGATTAACAAAACGATAGTTTATTAGAAATAATTTTGTATACATATATGTATACAAAAAAACAGTGATCGATTAACAAAATGATAGAATAATATTCGTGTTTTAAAATTATGACCATAAAAAGTTTGATTCATTCCCCCCCCCCCCCATCGGTTTGAAGAGATATTAAACTTTGATGGGTCATAAAAACCGAACACAGAAGATTATTTCTGGAAATTTTAAATTTGTAGA